CTACCACTACTACTACTACTACTACTACCACCACCACCACGACTACTACTACTACTACTATACTACTACTACTACTACTACTACTATACTACTACTACTACTACTACTACTACTACCACTACTATTGCTACGGTCAGGATACAGCAGTCATACAGTATGAACAATCGAATGATCCAAGTGGTTTTCATCAAAATGAAGGCGCAGTTCAGGTCATCAATTTTTCCTGCTGCTGTGTGGTTTTCACGCCAGCTGGGGCCCCTGCTATAGCACACTGGTTGCTTACTCTGGATCCCTTGCGTTCAAGATCCGATCATGATATCCTAGACTCTAACCATAAACTTGCTCTGCCTGCGCTCCTACACAGTTCTTATCTTGATATTACGGAGCTTTGCGTTCTTATTGCTACATATAGACCATGTTCTACAACAGAAGCTTGATTTTTCCCTTTGTTCCCTATATGTCTTTATGAGTCTCATGTAATCCGTGCTTGTGAGTCCTTGGTTTATCCTCCTCTTGGCAGACAAGGCCCTCTTCTACTTCCCCAACTGCACAGAGATGGGCCCATCACCCACCTGGGAAGTCGTGGGTGGAGAACATGTTGGCAGCAACAGTGCTACCTTCGGCTTCAAGATTGCGCCTGGGGACACTTTCGACGTGAGCTACTCCCTGACCCTGGTGTCTGGGCAGCGTTTTAAGCATGAAGTGGTGTGAGTAGTATTTAATTTGGGGATACCATGGTACCCAATACAGAGTAAGATTCTATCCTCCTTTTGGGGTATAGTATTTTATATAAGGAATATTATCTTACTAGGTTCAACCACCAAAAACATTACTCGTGTGGGGATGAGGGTGCTAAAGCCGAGCTGGGCTTAGGGTTGCGGGTGGGAAAGCCGTCTTTTGAATCTAGCGATCATCCTTGCTTCCCAAAAGTATGGACATAGTCCTGCACCATGCTATATTCCTACGGTCCTACACGTCAGGAATTATGGGAGTGAAGCATGCTTAGGGTCATGCCGACTTGGTCTATCAGTGGTTTCTCGCACCAAGCGAAGAACCTCTAATCAGGAGCCAAAATCCGACCGTTAAGCTTGAAAACATAAACCCTTAGCCCCGATTCCCGTACCCCAACCCCAAAAATCCCAAACCCTAACCCCAAACTCGAAACCCTCATTCCTAAACCCCAGGCCCCCAACCCCCAGCCCTACACCTTGAACCCAAGGTAAGGACAAGCCCAAATCACTGATAGCTTGCTATAGTCCCTTATAACCAAAGACTATAGATCTTACTAGTTTTTGGTAATATGCCTGCCAACCCCTCAGCCCGAAATCCATATATCATCCCAGTCCCCAGTTTATTTCCAAATTCTTTTCCACTTCAGTCTCCGTTACCCCTATATAGCCGTATATAACCCTTGATAATCCCTGTACAACCTTACATAATATACCTAGTTAGATAAAATGCCTTAAGCCCTGAGCCTGAAAACCTAAGCCTCCTTTGACAGTGGCAGGGCTACGTTGAAGCTGACCAAAGCCAGCGCAGTGTGCAGACGTAAAAGTCCGTTAATTTCCAAAACCTTAAATCCTAAACCTCAGGTTCTCCACAACCCCAATCGCCCTATATCCTTAAAGCCCAGAACCCTAATCCCCAAACCCTAAACCCAGAACCCTAATCCCTAAACCATAAACCCTAAACCCTGAATCCTAAATCTCAGGTTCGTACAAGCGCCGATCCGGTTCACCCAGGGAAGACCTCTGCTCATGCCTCATCCGGCGAGCAGAGGAGGGCAGGTTTGCAAGTTTGGGATTCAGGGTTTGGGGTTTAGGGATCAGAGTTTTAGGGTTTAGGGATTAGGGTTGAGGTTGTAGGGCTCTGGGATAAGGAAATTTTGGGGCTGCTGGGGTACCGGCGTTTGATTTTCAATCAATTTTATTTCCTGGTTGCAAGGTGGTTCCCTAACATGCTGCTTAGAGAGGTGCAGGGTTTCGAGGCTTCGTAGGCCCTCAGAATGTTCTAGCCCTTGTTTAAGCATCCCCAAAAGGTGTAGGGTTTCGGGTTGTCCGAGTCAAGGTTAGTGGCCTTTTGCGTGTCGTCTCATATGATTTTGTTTCTTGACATGCATTCAGTTCAATGCCCAAAAGCGTCCATTTTCCCAGGGATGATATTGAATAATTTTCCAGAACAACCTCAGGAGACTCTTCAAGAGCATGGCGTGTTCATATGCCACTGGTCAGCGATTAGAGTGGAGAAGTGATCGCCTTTCCCTAGTATTCGACCCTCCCCAACGCCCAATGTGAGATAGTTCCCATGAGAGATGTTGTGTGGGGTGTGCCTCATATTAGGGGAGGAGACTACTGCTGGCAAAGGAGATCTCGCACCCCTAAACCCTAAAACTTTAGATCCTAAACCCTAGAGTAGTCTCCATTTTCTTTTCCATTTCCCTACATAAACCCTTTGTAACTCCTATATAGGTGTTATCCAGGGAGTATAGAGGGATAACCATCAGGTTGTCATGCGTGGTTTTCACTGCAAAGCAGCGACATATGATCCGTGCGGTTGGAGATCACACGACGCTGTTTGGGCCAGTCCCCCTTCAATAACTGTCTGTAAAGGGCTTCTATCATGCAGCTAGCATAAGTGCTATTACCTCTTACGGCAATTGTTACTGACGGAGGGAATGACCTAAGACACTGTTGCTTTTGCGAGCTTGATCTCACATGAGTAGTATTTTATTTGGGGATAATATGGTACCCATTATAGAGTAAGATTCTATCCTCCTTTTGGGGTATAGTATTTTATATAGGGAACATAATCTTACTGGGTTCAACCACCAAAAAGCGCTACTCACACGGAGTTTTTGAAACGTATGCGGCCCTGTGCTGTGCATGCCTCTGGTGGATATTAAGGATCGTTTATGACCCTAAGTACCTTATACCTTGGGATTTATGGCTCTATGGTATACTAAGGTCATGTAGGGTTTGTAGTATCAACAGTAGTAGAGAAGGTCGGATTTGGGTGACATAACTGTGGATTCTGAATGTATCAAGTCATACCGTGTCATACAATACAGCTCGGCCTGGTGGTCAGGGACCCACTAGACCTGCAACATGTATGAACTGCCATGCAAGATTACACGCACTCATGGAAAAATCCTGAACCGTGCCTCGAATATGGTTTTTCTTATTTATAGTCGGAGAATTTTCGCTGTCAGGGATGTGCGTGGGGGGTCGTTGAGGGGAAAGAATGGTCCATTTACTTCTACAACTAATCCCCTAAACCCTAAACCCTCCAAGGCCTCCATAATCTGCTTAATTGCTCAGTGGGTACGCAGATCTCTATGCCCTTCACAAGCATGCTGCTGACCCTGCAGTCACTCGACGGTACTTCGGAGTATTGCACGGGAGCCCTGCCGCTTTTGTGAGGAGAGTTCAGGAATTGCCCCAGTCCTTCCCTGGTGCCCTCCGCAACCCTAAACGGCTTCGGGTAGCCTCAAGTACATAGAGACCGGACAATTTTTTGGGCTGCGTTGGCTGTATTCCCTATACTCCGTCCCTAATTCCCAAACCCTAAACCCAAACTCGAAAGCTGCTCCATGTATGACTTGTGCGGCATCCGGAAGGTCATTGCTGCTGCAGGCGCGCTCCAAAACCTGGGCAACAAGTTGTGGCAGCGAGATATGGATTTCTCGCCAGGGGAGTGTGGGAAAGGAAGGAATCAATCTGAGGATAAGACTCATACTAATAATAGTAAGAATAATAGTAGCAAGAATAGTAACATTAATAGTAATATTAATAGCAATAATAGTAAAACTACATGCTCAGGCCTGTACGCCTTTACCACTCCAAACCGCATCTTCCCGCCCCGCTCAGCCTTCTTCACAACTGGCAACAAGTGCACGTGAGAACCGTCAGGAATAAATGGGTTATCTTTTTAAAGTCTTCGTATCCCTTGCTGATTACAGCGCCTATCTTGCTTGTTGTATTCTTGGTAGGTGTTGAGTTTGTCTTCTCTTCTTGCTAGTAGTTTTTCTGCCGCAGCTCTCAGTGAGCGCAATGTCTACAACTTTTATGTCAACTTCGGATGCACAACGGCCCCTAGTTCTGAGTCCTAAAACAAAGACATTGAGCTCCAAGCTCCAAGTCCTGAACTCAAGCCCTACGAGCTTTGAACTCGAAACCCCTAAACAGCTTCGCATTCGAAACCCCTGAACTGAACTCTAAGCGTTGAAGCGTCAATCACAAGAATCTTAGAGCGGAATAGTATATATGGTAGTTTCCCAAAGTAGGGGGACCCCAATATAGACCCCAATATGCTATAGTCCTTATTATTGGGACCCCTAAAATGGCACCCCTAATTTTCGGAACCCCCCATGCATAAGTGTAAAGGCCCTGCCCAGCCCGATGTACGTGCCGAGCCTTTCAATGGAGCGACCTGCATGTGGGCGACTCGACTGTGTTTTGCTTTCTTTCTGTTGGGCTGTGGGGTTTCGGGTTTGTTGAACACGCATTGGCCTTGAGGTTTGGCACGTGGGGTTTACGTATCTCTGCCCAGATTGAGTATGATCCGTGAAACGAATCTCCAGTTTGAGATAAGCCTGATGGTTGTGGTAGTAGCCAGAGAAGTCGTGGAAGCTGTAGAGGTAATAGAAGAGGGAGAAGCCGAAGCAGCATTTTTTTGACCTGCAAGTCGAAGGCTTAAGATTACATCCCAGGAGAGGAACGAAGAGGTCGGGGAGAACTACCAGGTCGACTTCGCGCCGGAGGACGATTTAAGGCTTTGAGCTGCAGTCTAAATCCTGGTATCCCCCGTGATAACCAATATAATGGTCCGTATATAACCCCCTATATAGCCCCCCTTAAGGAGTGTAGACTAAAGCTCATGTGGTTCAATGTGCAAACAGTTCACGGGCGAAATATTGCATCCCACTAGGGTTTAGGGTTTGAAAAGTCGGGCCATAGACTTGGAACTGCTTGTCATGTGGAGAACCCACCTGCAGGACGAACTCCTCGTATGAACATGTGAGATGCTTGTATCCCAAACAGTGGAATACTCAAGTTATCGCCAGGGAACGTCCTATGGTCTCCCAGATTAGCTCACTTATAAGCAATTCTAATGTCTGGTCATATTTCTACCTAGCTCGTACTAAGCACCAGCTTGATGCTTTGATGTGAAGACAGGGTTGCATGTAGGACGAAGGTTGTTTCCAACATGAAGATCCCATTTTTATTTGGATGATGATTTATGCCCTAAACCCTAAGGCCTAAACTAAGCGATCCGCACAAAAGCTTTTGAGCAATAGAGCACTATGTCCACCTTCCGCTGCCTTTGAGAAGAATCCTACCTCTTCAATCTGCAAATAGTCAGAATTGTCAGATTTGTACAAAGCCTAAGTGGTGCTGGAGAGAGTCGATCCCTGCAAGTTGCTACAAAGAACCGGGGATTGTAGTATTTGGGGTGCTATATTGGGGTCCCTCTTTTTATGGACGCCACCAAAACTCTCACATGATTTGATTTGACAGTGCTCATATTCATCCGACGACTCGCTCTTCGGCACCAGTACCCTCCCCCAAACTAACAAAACAAAGCCCCCCCTTTACCTCGATTCAGTCTTTGCAGGGCACTCTTGAACATTAAGCCCTAAGCCCTAAACCCGAAACCCTGAACCCGAAAACCCAAAA